TGTCTTTTGAAACAAAAATACACCACTCCTACGAAATCCAGGGACGGAATGGAAGGAAGCACACAGGAAAGCAACAAGGCAGCCACAGCTTTTTATCAGCTGGAACAGATCATACAGATGAAGAGGGAAAGTCACATTCCTGTAGGCTGGAGGGATGCACATTTAAAATGCATCTGACCTACAGAATAAAATAGAATATAGAACCTATATGGATGCAATAAAGAATTTAGGTAGCCACATCAGATCCAGGAGCTACCCTAACTTTAAAATTATGAGCCCTGCTCTTGATTTGCTGTTTTAGGAAAATAAACAGAAGTGTTTAAACCCACTGCTACTAACTATTATGGGTCATCCTTCACTTCAGCCCCACTTAATGCACCAAGTAAGGACTGGGGATACAATCCAACAGCTCCCAGTATAACACCATCTTCCTACACAAGGTCCCTCACCGCTGCCTCCCTGGGCTTTGCAGCCTTTGAGCCACTGCTTTCCCTTCACTCACCTTAGCGTGGGATGCACACGCAAAGTGCAAGCGCCTGAAGTCCCCGGGAACACTAGTGTGCAAAAGCCCTGCAGCCACGCAACATGCTGGCACACCTCCTCCCACCCGGAGGGAGGAAGAGGTGCCTCCACCCGTTGGTTTCCATCATCTCCTAATTGTATAACCTACAGGGATCCCACCGCAGCTGCCTGTGGGAATGTGTTCGCCGAGCAGTTCGGGTGCTAATTGCCCCTCGCTGACCCTGAAAGCAAGTCCTCGCAGGGAGCCAGAAGCATCACCCCTAAAAGAACCGGTTGCCCTGCGGATCTGCCCCCCCAAAACCCATAAGGTCCCAGCAGCCCCGTCCACCCTGCTCCCAAAGGCGGGGGCACAAGGCCAGGGTGCACCCTGATGCTGCCGAGGCACCAAACCCGCATCCTGAGTGGTTGCCCAGTGCTCGCCCTCTGCACCCAAAGGTGCCCCTGTGCTTACAGAGATCACTTTTCCCTTGGGTTTCTTTTTTCCCTTTAATCTCAAATCTTCTTCATACATAGAAATAACCCCCCAATGCCTTGCATCTCAGGCACAGCTGCGGCCTTACCTTTATCAGAATGGCTAAACCTAAGTATTACATCTTCTTTTACATTTGTACAGAGAAAGCACAGAGCTGGAGATTCAGGACCAGCAGCGTAATGACTTTTAAATTACAATAATAATGAAGATCCTTTACCAAACCTTGAGTAAAAATCCCAAAAGTTTATTGCAACGCAAACAAGCACCATCTTAATTTGTATTTGCTAATAGTCAATAACCTCATGAATGCCACTGGAGATTAAAAACCAAAGAAATGTAAAAGGTGATACTTGAGCTTGCATGCCCTCGAAAATGCTCGGGTGTCTATCCCTCACCGCGTAAGAAGCACTACCTTCCCAAAATCATACATTATACCACGATATTTCACATTTATCTGGACCACTCGAAAGCTGTAGCATCCGGCCAGGTTGGGTTTTATCTGCACTGGTGAGTTAGGCTGGGTTCCCAGAGGAGTTTGCACACACACCTATTGTATCCCATCGAGCTGCCGTTGATAAGTGGGACTACTTGTGGCAGCACAGCCGACCAGGTGCCGGCAGCGTCTGCAACATGATACCCAGGCAAACTTGTGCAACATTTGTGCAAAGTTGAGGCTAGCACCAGCCTTCCCCCTCCAGCACCGGCTGGGACCGCAGTACAATGTTTAACACGGGCAAGTGCAACGTGACTTGAACAATGTTTAACCCAATTTTTGGCCAAATAAATCCCAATTTGTTATCGTGAACACTACTGTGGACAAAAAGAAATCGTTTTAAACAATCCTGTCAATTTACGCCATACATTTAATAGTAACACTAAGAAATCACAGGCTGATCGACTCTTGACCACCTGTTTCTGAAGCCCAGGGTAAAATCCTGCCCCCTGGAAAGCAAGGGCAGGATTTCAGCAGGGTCCAGACTTCATCCCAGTTGTTAAAACAACATAAACCTAATGATACAATGTACAGGCATGGGAATATAAGGCCAAGCTCTGCTTTTCTGTAGGAAAGCCTGAAAGGCACAATGGAAAAAGGAGAATATGTCTTTTTTAAGGGACCCCTTGGGGCACCCCTGGCACACATCTGGATTCATTTCATCCAAAAGAGATCTAGTTTGCTCACTCTGATGGCTGTGCATGACAGGCATGGGCAGAGGGGCACCCAGAAAGATTCACTTCAAAAGAGATTGACTTCAAAAGCTCCCTCCCGATCCAAAGCAAAATGCTAATATCCACATCACCCACATTCCTGCCTCCTGGCTTGGATGAGTTCCTGACCGGCTGCCGGGACACAGCCCAGCAGGAACCGCGGCACCAGGGCAAAGGCAGAGCAGAGCCTGCCCAGGGCTGCCCACCGTCCCACCGAGCTTCTGATGATGTTGGCACTGTTAGGGTAACTTTTAAACACTGAGCGTGCTGTTCTCAGTTTTTATGAAGTTATCTTCATTTACCTGATTTTCATCATTCTTACGGCTTTGTTTATATGCAGAAGGCCAACATTACCACACTTACATGAATAATCCCCAAATCAAATGAAAAAAATGCTGTGTTTAGCCAAGTATCAAAGTCTCAAACTAATTTAATTGAGTAGCGCAGCTCCTCACTAGCATCACACACGCTCACATGCCTCCACAGCACAACACATTGCTAGGTGGAAATAAGATTTTTATAGCAGCAGTGTTACTTCCGACTCGTATATAGATCAAATTCCCAAAGCTCACAACGAACTCCAATCCTTCCCTGACCTGAAGAGCAGCTGTGTGTAGGGCAAGACTTTGTGTTTGTCTGGGTTGAGAGGTTAATGGCTACTCCATAGACGCGTTTTTCAGTTAACTGGCAGGTCATTTTAGCAGATGATTTGCAGGTATTTCGCAACACTCAGAGATAACCCTGTGGAGTACTTCTGTCTGAGTTCATCTCTGTCTTTTTTTTTGTAAAGACTGCATCAGATAAACCAGAGAAAGCAGGCAGGTGAGAGTTTCCTGGACGCAATCACACACTGTCAAACTCTGCCCTTTCAATTTCTAAACAGCAAACTTCTCCAAATTAACGTCACATGGAGTTCAGTGCTTGTCAAAATTATTTTAAAATCCTATCCATAAAAAGCTTTAATCTTTCAAATATCTGAAGACATGCAGCAGACAGCCAATTTTGATCAGTATCATAGCAGTTTCAAAGTTCACACCTTCACCAAACATGACAACGATGCTTGAACGATCAAGCTCCTGTTACTTAAGAAAAGGTCTTCATTCCCACCTGAGATTTCATCCACTTACACTGCGTAAATCATTAGATTGAGAAAGGAATAGTTCGTGACATCTATTTTTCTGTTCTGAACACTCTCCTCATCTAGTCTAACGAAATGTCTTTTCCAAGCTTCTTGCTCCAAGTCAAGTTCTTATCATCTGCTACTAGATAAAGAGCTACTGGTTCAGACAATGAGCACGCAATCACCTGCACCTTAATCCAAATGTTTTTCTTTAAGGTCACAAGCCAACTGTGTGTTTTCTCTGCAAGTCCTCACAGGACATGGAAATGGCATTTATGGGCCAACTTACCACATCAGCTGCCCCCCATCATTTTGGAAGAAACAGGAGTGGCTTGTCAGGTGATACACCACAGTAAATTCCATCAGTTCAGTTGACATCACTTTCATTTTCCTGAAGCAAAAAGGACTTCAAGCCTGCAAACACAAGGGAGAGCACGGCTCTCTCCCCCGAGACCCCACTGCAAGCCATGACTACTTACAGTAAAACAAGCGCTGCCAGGACTATGCCATCATTTGATTATCATTTTTTTAATACAATCATCCAAAATGAAGCATTTCCCACTCAAAGTGTCATTTTACATACCTAGTACATTCAGCTATTTTTTGCAGAAAGAATACAAATATTAGCTTTAGGCTGCAGAAAGAGGTTGCAAGGAATGTATCTGGTTAAACCTCTGAAAGTCAACAGAAATATGGGATCAGGTCCACAGTAAACTTTATAGAGTGGCACCTGCAGAGGAAATTACTCACTGCATGATTGATGCCACAATTAGAGGCATAAAAAGTAATTCCATGATAAACAAGCAATAGAGCAGAGAAAAAACAATATCCTAAGAGCACATATGTGCTCATATAATAGTATATATTGGACGACATCGAACAGTCTTCAAACACACAGAGACACAAATTGTCTGAGGAAGTTAATGGTGCAGTACCCCTCCTCTCCTCCTCCCCCTCCCCCCAACAGTGCAGATTCTGGGCTGTATTTGGCCAGTATCTGTCCCCAGCTCTACGAAAGCAACTCCAGTGCAATTAGCAGCGATACACAGCTATTACACAGCCATAACTCATTGCTCTCAGCGTCGCGATTTCCCACAGGAACGCACGCCAGCAATGCAAACCAGCACAGCTCTGCCAGTGTCACATCTACCTGGGCCACACCAGTGGAGAACTGGTCTGAGGGCTAGGGATCTTCCAACCAAACCACCCAGCATGCAGAAGGGAATAAACGCGGTTTGTTGCTAAAAAAAGCAGAGATACCAAATCTCAAGTTTGGTTTTTTTAAGAGGAAAAAAAGAGGGAGGGGAAACAGCATTACAGATACACGTGCATTCCCTACATCTTTGCAACTTACGTCCTTTATTACCTTTATACAACCACATCAGAAAAGCTTCAGCCAAGCTCCCACCTCAACTGAGGGAGTATATACTCTTCCACGCACACTCATATTTATTTACCCTTGTGATCCACGTTTACCAAACAACTTCAATGCACCACTTCAATCCACAGCACATGGGCTTCATACATTTTTGTGGCTCCTCCAAAAATTTCACAGATAAATTGCTGCCTCAGGAAACCGAAAGCTGTGCACTAAACTGCAAGCAGGTTATTTCTGCCCATGCCCCTGTGCCGGTCTGACAAGCAGAATTACGCACTTTATGAACTTCAACGTTTGCTTACCTGAGACCGAAACTTTCATGAGGGCTTCCAGGGGTCTGTTGTTGTCCAGATCGCGACTGAGTTTGAGTTCCCCAGTGGCAGAGTCCAAAAGGAGCAAGTTTAACTCATTTCCTTGCACAAAGGTGTAGGCCAGGCTGTCAGACACATCAGGATCATGAGCTGGGATCTTGCCAATGACACCAGAGGGGAAGCTGTTAGACTTGTTGGTCACATAGTTATTGAAGAGGATCTGGAAGTCCTGCAGCACCGGTGGGTTATCATTTTGATCCAGGAGGCGTATGTGCACCGTTGCCCGGCTCACAAGAGGGGCAGAAGTGGCCTGCACCACAATCACGTACTCTGTCCGGCTCTCATAATCCAGGTCCATCAGGGCCGTGAGGTCTCCATTGAGCAAGTCCAGCTGGAAGACCTCAGGGATGTTCCCCTCTACGATCTGATACATGATTTGTGCATTGGTCCCCTCATCGGGGTCGGCAGCACTGATGCGTGCCACAATAGAGCCCACGGGGCTGTTCTCCTCCACAAAGATGTCAAATTCATCCTTCTCAAAGACAGGGGGGTTGTCGTTGATGTCTAGCACAGTCACTTGGATATCCACGGAAGCTTTCAGCGGCGGGCTGCCCCTGTCCACAGCAAAGGCCCGCAGGCTGTAGACAGCCACATTCTCACGGTCCAGCTTGCGCAGTGTGCGTATCACTCCAGAAGTGGGTTCGATGTAGAAGTCTCCATCTCCATCGTCACCGCCTTGGAACGTGTAGAGGAGACGGCCATTTAGGCCTGCGTCACGGTCAGTGGCAGACAGCTGCAGGACGCTGGTGGAGAGCGGCACATCCTCGAAAACCGAGCCCTGGTAGCGGTCGCGCAGGAAGCGGGGCGCATTGTCATTGGCATCCAGGATGAGGATCTCAACATAGGTGGTGTCCGATTTCTGGGGGATGCCATTGTCATGCGCTGTAATGGCCAATGTGTAGGAGGCCTGGTCTTCGTAGTCCAGCTCCATCAGGGTGGTGATGGTGCCTGTATCAGGGTCAATGCGGAACTGGGGGATATTATCGTCCAAGATGTAAGTGATTCTTGCGTTCTCCCCCGTGTCTTCATCAGTGGCACTGATGGTGACAATAGAGGTGCCAATGGGCTTGTCCTCACTGACGCTTACTGTGTAGTGGGAACTCTGGAAGACCGGGCGGTGCGTGTTGGCATCCGTGACGTTGATGAAGACCTGGACGGTGTCAAAGCGAGTGCCGTCAGAGGCAGTGACTGTGAGCACATACTGCCTTTCCTGCTTGTAATCCAGGGGCAAGGCCAGCGTGATCAGCCCCCCTCCACTCTGACTGGTGATGGCAAAACGGTTCCTGGTGTTGCCACTGGTGATTTGGTAAGTTACAACGCTGTTAACGTCCCTGTCCACTGCTGTCAGGGTCAGGACACTGCTGCCCACAGCTGCGTCCTCGTTCAGTCTGAGGTGATACACCTTCTCTGTGAAGGTGGGGTTGTTGTCATTCACATCCAGGACAGTGATGGACACGCTGGCTGAGGAGGTCATGACTGGTATACCATGGTCCCTGGCCTCCACCCCAAAGTGATAGTTCTCCACAGTCTCTCGGTCCAGCTCTGCAGCCACCGTGATCCACCCTGTGCTGTTGTTGATCTGAAAAGGGAACCCAGAGTCACCTGCTACGGGGGTACCTCCGGTGGATGGTGCCATCTCTATGAGTTTGTACTCCAGGCGGGCGTTCTCCCCGGAGTCAGCATCCACAGCCTGGATGTGCAACACCGAGTAGCCCAGAGGAACGTTCTCCAGCACCGTGGCTTGGAAGGGAGTGCTCACAAAGATGGGGGCATTGTCATTCACATCCACGACCTGCACCGACACCATGCCACTGGAGTTGATCAAGGGAGGCCTGCCCCCATCCTGGGCTTTGATCCGGAGCGTGTACTCCCGAATAGTCTCGTAATCCAGAGGATTGATCAGGTCGATGGCGCCGGAGAAGGAGTGGATGTAGAACTGGCCTTTCAGGTTGCCACTCACAATGCTGTAGTGCACCTGGGCATTGCTGCCCCGGTCCCGATCTGTGGCCTGCACCTGCAGTATCTGGCTGTTCACTGGGGCATCCTCTGGCACCTGAACCAGGTAGCGCTTCTCACTGAACTGGGGGTAGTTGTCGTTCTCATCCTCGACGGTGATGTGCACCATAGCCGTGGCACTGCGAGGTCCCGGATCCTTGCCCTGGTCATTGGCTTCTACCACCAGGTGGTACTCGGAGACGTCCTCGCGGTCCACTGGGGCTCGGGTCCTCACAACCCCGGAGCGCGGGTCGATCTCAAAGACCCCATCACCAGCTCCTGGCTCCAGCAAACGGTAAAGCATGTTGGCGTTAGCTGGGGCATCACCGTCAGTGGCACGGATGGTCAACACCTCATAACCCACCTCCAGGTTCTCCCGGATGCTCTCCCGGTACTCGGGCTGCTCAAACACCGGCTCGTGGTCGTTGGTGTCACTCACAGTCACTGTCAGATAGGTAGTGGCCGAGCGGCGGC